AGTAACGACGGACGACCGTAACCGTAACGTAAGTAAGTAAAGTAATAAACTAAACTAACGTAACGTACTACGAGTAGTAAGTAATATATAGAGAGAGATAGAAGAGAGAGAGAGAGAGAGAGAGAGAGAGAGGGGGGGTGACATCCCACCATTCTGATATATTCTTTCCATACTCTACGTAAGACCAAAGAGTATACAGTATTGTTGTGAGACCATGTTGTGCATGAGAGGCATTTGAAGAGAAAAGATACAATTGATATCTAGACAAACTTGAAGCTTTGGTTGAAGAAAGCAATGTGTAGACATCATCGTTGCATTATATCCAAGGGTATCATATGCCCTTTGATGCCGATAATTTTCTATTTCATTGTAAATTTTTTTGAGATTTTTAATATGTTTCAAGACCCAAATCAAGGATGTAAAAATATGCATATCAATTTGATGTAAATGAAACAAAGATTGAAAATCTTTGGATTCCCTCTCCAATTCATTAATATCCACAACAATCATTTCCCACTATATGAATCTGGAACAAATTTGTTCCCTCTTTGTGTTAGATTATTTGGTTTCTTTATTATATGTCATAATCATATCCCCTAACACATTTGTGGCAAACATGGTGGCATACCTTTCCTTAATAGAGGCACCGGAAACTTTAAGCGGATTCTCTTCTCTTTCCCTCTAGCTTTCTCTTATTTATCGACGCTTCTCACTTCCCCCTTTAGTATCATTTTCTTACTACCAGCTTTACTCTCCTCGACATTTTCTTATCATTTGCATTCTCATTTGTATTGCCCCTTTCTTGGATTGCTACATTTACTTCATCTTCATTGCTCATCACTCCCACTCCCACTCCCGTAGAATTCAACTCACATTTACTTATTCTTATGCGCTCACATTATTTTTCCACCTATTTTCATTTCCGAATAGCATATTCCCATTACTAGAAACAACATATAGAGGTTACACTTAAAAGATCTCCTCTTTTCTAACCCGCTTTCCTTTTTTGAAGATTCACCCATTTGATGAATTCATTATTTTCATCTAGTTCATATCATACAATTGCATAATCCTCGAGATCTACAAATATTATTCAATTAGTTTGTCTCCTTGAAACCCATTTCTACCTTTCCATATAGCATATGCTTTAGTTGTTGCCTCAGATCTCAGTGAACCATGAAGAAAGATATAGGGTCCCTTCCTTACCTCCCTTTCTTATATACTGCTTTCATCTTAACTTTTTCCTCTTTTGCCTGTCCTCTTATTTTATTTTTTTCATTTTTTTTCTAGAAGTAGACATCCCCCGGTGCCGCAAAACACCCACTATCGCTATCTACAATAACTTTTTTATCTCTCGAGCCCTAATCTCATTAATAGTCATAAAAAGGGATTCTTATCTTCCCCCATCCTCCTCTCTAATGTCATCATTACTTCCCTTCCATATCTACTCTCATTGCGAAACCGTTGTGACTCGAGGCCCACTGACACTTGTACACAAGCAAATAGACCTTAAGTGTCTATAAGTAAATCCAATTCCCAAATGATCAACAGTCCAGATTTAGCCACCACCTTTTTAAGACGTTATCTAGGTCCCTTACCTATAAATTAGAACCTCCCTTCAATTTTAGGGTCCTAGACCCATCTAAACTATATAAAGCCCTGTCAAACTTAATACTCAACCCTAAGCCTTAGAATCCCTAATCCTCACAGACCCTAAGCCTATCTTAGAAGTGCAATAGAGGTATACTCCCATCCTCATACGACACAAGTTATCGTCTAAATCATGTTCACCCTTAGTGGTCCGCTTA